GACAGGTTGAAGTCCTTAAAGATGTTCAGACTGGGAAAGGGTGGCATTATGTTGGGTGAAACCGTCAGATTTTTTTAAAAGGTGCCAGGAGGCAGGTACTCTTTAGAGGTTAAGGTAAGCAGGTGTGGGTGGAAAACGGCCTGTATTGTTCCTGGTGGAGCCGCAGAGGAGCTGATGTAAGGAAGTGGTTCTGGTTGGAGGGCAGGTTACATAGTCGCACATAGTAATCTTTGGCCTGGACCACCTTCATGGCCCTGTCTCCGTGTGCCCTCAGCCCAGCTTCAGACTCAGGGCTGGAAGTGGGTCACAGGAGGAAAATGAGAGGGGCTGGCCTGAGGGGAACTGGAAGTGTTTGCTATGACGGGAAAGCAGAAGAAAGGGAAAGTCCCTGCCTTCACCCTCCCTGGTGACGGGAAAGGGGTCAGGCCCTGTGTGTGCAAAGGTAGGGAAGGAAGAGAACGACCAGGGGAAAGTGGGAAAGGGAGGGAGGGCATGTGGGCAGACAGGCAGGGACCTGGAGCCACAGCAGCTTCTTCAGAAAGCGCTTCAGTTTGCAGCGTTAAAGGCGGTCATGACCTTGCAGAGACCGCGCAGGCCTATAGGGTTTTCTAGCACCAACTCCTTCCCATCCCCCCACCTACCAAGGGCTCCACTCTCAGCCACACTCTCCCCATGTGTAAATGTTTTCCCCCACGTCCCGAGTGGTTCAGGGTTCAGCATCTGGAAGAGGGCCACACGCAAATGAAAGAGACAAGACAAGAAATAATAATTTGGAAATATTGGGGGGCCAGGTGGGCAAGTCCAACTCAAGGGGAAGGACTTCCACTGGTGCTCAGGCCTCACCAACCTTTTATTGGCTTGGGATACACCCATAGCATAGCCCTTAGGCAGGCAATTTCCAGAAACAGGCAGACTAGCCCATCAGCAAGGATTTACATAATAAGAAATGGGGAAGTTGCTTCAGCTACCATTGTCTGGACTAACAGTGGGTGCACAGCCCTGACCTTTGCCAGGGCTGCAAGGGTCTAAGGGGTCAGGCCCTGTGTGTGCAAAGGTAGGGAAGGAAGAGAACGACCAGGGGAAAGTGGGAAAGGGAGGGAGGGCATGTGGGCAGACAGGCAGGGACTTGGAGCCACAGCAGCTTCTTCAGAAAGGGCTTCAGTTTGCAGCGTTAAAGGCGGACGTGACCTTGCAGAGAACGCGCAGGCCTATAGGGTTTTCTAGCACCAACTCCTTCCCACCCCCCCACCTACTAAGGGCTCCACTGTTAGCCACACTCTCCCCTCCACCCCCACAGTGTTGGAAGGGACGTCTAGGATAAAGGTGTGTGGCCCCACGTAGGTCTCCATGGCAGTGAGGTGAGAGCTGGACAAGTTCTTGGCTCTGCCTGTGCCCAAAGCTGCTGGGCTGGGGAGAGCGAAGGGCAAGATTGTTCACTGGTGTGAGTCACTGTGAACCCCACCCACTTGAGGC